CTGTGGTTGCTTTATCTGTAATATAAGGAAATTGAATTTCTGTGCTTCTCTCACTGAAGTGTAATCACCCTGGGATTGTGCAAAGGAGGTGTGTAAAGTCAGAGGGTTATTGTGTTACATTTTCCTTGTAGGTGGGAAATCTAAAATATTATTTTTATATAAGAAATAAATATATGTAGAAGTTGGATGAAAGATTAAAATGAATTTTTAAGGTGAAACTGGAAACTGCAAGGAAAATTGAGGCTGTGGCTGGCAGGAAGATTTGGGAGCAAACACTTTCCATCTCCCTGGGGCTGGGTGCCCTTAGGGATATTGCAGGGAAAGTTAGGGAAGTGTTGGAGGTTAGGAGTTAGGAAGACCACTTCCGCCACCAAAACTCTGAATCTGTGAGCCTTCCAAGCACTTTTCATATCACACACACAAACCACACTGGGTCTGCTTTCCTGAGGCAACGCCTCAGTTTTTTTTTTTTTTTTTTTTTAATTTTTTATTTATTTATTTTTTCCCCCAAAGCCCCAGTAGATAGTTGTACATCATAGCTGCACATCTTTCTAGTTGCTGTATGTGGGACGCGGCCTCAGCGTGGCCGGAGAAGCGGTGCGTTGGTGCACGCCGGGGAGCGAACCCGGGCCGCCAGCACCGGAGCGCACGCACTTAACCGCTAAGCCATGGCGCCGGCCCAACGCCTCAGTTTTAAAGCTCTTTACTTCAACCCCAAAAGGTAAACATTACAGTGAATTCACATCTTATTCTAGATTCTGAACTCAGAGAATTAGATGAAATAGTTAAATAAAGATTACGTTTTAAAAATCCCTTAAATTGCCCAGTCAGTATGGTCTTGCCTTCTCAGCAAGACCAGTAGAGCTGTTGTTTCCTCCAGCACTGGGATGATTTGCAGTTCTTTGACTGAACACCATAGGAAGCTGGGATTTACCATCACAGAAGTCCCAAGAGACTCCTGGTCTAGGAGAAGCGCCCAGGACTCCAGGCCGACTGCAGTAAATGCAGGTTCTACCTGACATCTCAAGCTCACGCCAGGGCAGATGCATGGATGTGTTTCTTTCACTCACTCTCCCTGACTTTCTCTTCCCCACCCCTCATCACCAGTTATGGAGTTAAATTCCTATAAAGCTAGCTTGTATGAAAAACAAGCTTAGCGGTGTGATAAAGAGCACAGTCCAGGGCAGGCCCCATGGCTTAGCGGTTGAGTGCATGCGCTCTGCTGCTGGTGGCCCGGGTTCGGAGTCCCGGCGCGCACCGACACACCCCTTCTCCAGCCATGCTGAGGCCGCGTCCCACATACAGCAACTAGAAGGATGTGCAACTATGATGTACAACTATCTACTGGGGCTTTGGGGAAAAAAAGGAGGAGGATAGGCAATGGATGTTAGCTCAGAGCCGGTCTTCCTCAGCAAAAAGAGGAGGATTAGCATGGATGTTAGCTCAGGGCTGATCTTCCTCACAAAAACAAAACAAACAAACAAAAAAGAAAGCACAGTCCATGGATCAGACTGTCTGAGTTTGAACCCTGGCTCTGCCACTTGCTGGCTGTATGTCCTCAGGCAAGTTACCTATCCTCTCTGAGCCTCCATTTCCTCATCAGCAAAATGGGCTTGATAAGAGGAGTACTCCTCTCTCAGGGTTGCTCTGAAGACTGAATGGGTTCTTATTTGTAAATCATTTAGAGCATTGTCTGAAACATAGTCAGTAGTATTTCAGTGTTTGTTCAATTAAAGAATAATCCACTGTATTTTCCCCATTTTTTCAATGAAGAAGCGGCAGTCCTCTTTTCCAAGGCACTCATAAACTCCATTTGATGCCTAACACTGGGAGAACCAGTCTTTCCTCCAGTGTTGCAAACCCCCAGTTTTCATCCCCAAGCCTCATATTGTTTCTTTTGCTTCCCTAGAGGAGGAAAAACAGGAAATATGACTTCTCTCCTTTTGTTTTGAATCCCTTTGCAGATCAGCATCCCCAGATCACACCTGTATTAAGTCAAAGACAATGGACCCAATGGTCATCTTCTTCACCAGTGGGACCACGGGCTTGCCCAAGATGGCAAAACACAGTCATGGACTTGCCTTACGATCCTGCTTCCCTGCATGGTAGGAAAGAGGGCACCGACTTAGAGGCTGGGCCACAGATCTGGGGTGGTGTGGGTGCCTGTGTGTGTGTATGTGTATTGGGAAAGGAGCTCTGAGTAGAACTGACTCCATCCTGTTTCTCCCTTCTGCTCTCTTTGGTTCAGACCCCCGAGGGCCTACAGGGTGAAGGCTGGGAATCCTAAATGTTTGCTGACAGAGGCCTCTGGATGACACATGGGGCACATTTGGGTCCTGCCTGAGCACCTTCACAGGAGGTGTGGAGGAAATGAGGGTGGAGGCAGCAGGCACTCTGCAAACCACACAAATGACAAGCCATTGTGTCCCTGTCAGTGGTTCCAGGGTTTGGTGGGAAAAGACAGAATGTTCTAGCAATGTGACCTGAGGTGATGGGTCCTCTCTTTTCTCCCATTATGGACAAATCAGACTTGGAGTTTTTCAATCATGAGCTCTTAGGGAAAATCCCACCTAGAACCAAGCCACACCAAGCCCCTGCCCCTAACCTAGAACAAACAATCAGAGAGGCTGAAGCTGTAGCCTTGGGTTAATCATTTAATCAATTTTAAACCAAACATCTTCTCTGCCCTGCCCCTCCCCCAGCTAGTAATAATTAGACTAAACCAAGTTCTATATATTTGCTAACTTATTAACCAGACTGGGGCAGAGAAGGCTTCTTGTGGACATTAGGTATCTGCACTAATGATAACAACTGAGTAGCAAAACCCTGGC